AGATAGATAGATAGATAGATAGATAGATAGATAGATAGATAGATAGATAGATAGATAGATAGATAGATAGATTGATTTTGTAAGCTGCCCAGAGGGGACTTGCAGCAAGATGGGTGGCAAAACAAATTTAATGAATAAAAATAAATAATCTAGGAGGATTATAGCTTATCTTTTCAATTCCCTTTGCCCTGTTTTGGCCAATGATGCAGTAAGGCATTTTGGATTCTGAACTTCATACTCTTATGCTCACCCATTTTTCAAAATTGGTTCTACTACATATGAAGCCAGTTTTCATTCTCTTGACTGGGTCCTAATTTATTCCCCAAAGCCCTAACTGCAGCAGTGACTCAGATTTTCCATCAAAAATGGAATATATTCAACATATTCACAGCAATAATCCATATTGCTACGAATATGTTGAGAGGGTAGGGCAGATCTACTTGGATATGAATAACCATTCCACCCAGCACAGGTTTCTTCATGGAAAATTTTAAGATGGCAATTTCAACTTTTCTCACTATTTCCCCATCATTTTTATACATACCCAAATACATAGATATCCATTATGCTATTTCCTTTCCGTCATGCAAACTGCAGCAAAGGTGTAAAAGATAAAAATTCAACAGGTATATGTCATAAACTAAGAAAAAAGCTAAATAAATATAGCCAAATCCAGCTTACAAAACCATTCACTATTTTCCATACCTTTCTAGCCTTACAACCATCCTAATTTTTACAGTGCCTATATATTTTTCTTCTTCTTCCTCCTCCTCCTCCTTAGCTTTCTCCTCTTCTCCTTTTCCTTCTCCTTCTTCTCCCTCTACAATCTCATCATTTATTTCTCCTTTCACCCTCACTCTATGACCATCTCAAGGGACTTCTACTGTCCACTCTTTTTTATATTTGGTCCACATTCGTTCTTTCTCTTCCTGTTGAGCTACATACACTGCTTATGTGATTAATATTCACTGCATTCAACGTATTTTTATACTTGTTGTGGACATATTGTACCCAACACTCTCTTCCATAGAAGAAAGTGGGCAGAAGCACATTCTTTTACACACATGTTTTCATTTCTTTTGACAAGTACTCATACCTCGCAACAGACCACATACTTCCCGCTTCCTTTCTCCACCCATCCTTAAGTGAACTGGAAACTATACTATTGCCAATCCCTATCCTGCCCATGTTGTGCCTGTTCTGAGTCACCATGCAATAATATACTGTCCTAATGATGTATGTGCAGCACCTGCTAAGAAAGCAATTTAGTGATTCCTCCAGTTTTTGCTGTCCTCCTTCTTCAGCTTGTTACCAACTAGTAAGAAAAATGTCTGCTAAACAAAGCAGACATTTTTAATCAAATGAATATTGGGCTTTTAAAACAATTACATCTGTACCTGTCTTCCACACTCCATTCTGTTACAGTCTGAATTGAATGAAGTTAAAAAAAAAACTCACTAAACAAAACAGAAGGGGATTTTCAAGTAGCACTTTTATTTAGAAGTAGCTGATAACTAGGCGTTGCTCGGGTATTTATTTATAGGGGAAAAATGTCCGGACCAAACGTAATGTCTAATGTTGGATTTTCCCCCTTACAGAGGGAGCCCCCTTGTGGAGTACTGTGAAGCTATTACCATGGCAACTCCACTTCACTGTACAGTAGAAGCCATTTTATGGCAGTAGTGTAGAAGCCATTTTATGGCACAACAGGCTGTATCTTAACAGACACATCCCAAGGGGTGTTAGGGGTGTCTTACCGCCACAATATTTTTTTTCCAGAGAGTAAGCCATCTGTGTACCATGTTTGGTTGAAATTGCTCGAGACATTTCAGAGTTTTGCTGTAACAGAATGGAGTGTGGAAGACAGGTACAGATGTAATTGTTTTAAAA